AAAAAAATAAACAAGAAATAAAGACATGAAGGAAGGAAGGAAGGAAAGAAGGAAGGAAAGAAAGAAGAAAGAAAGAAAAAAGAAAGAAAGATGGAGAGACTTAAAAAGAAAGGGTGGAAAGAAAGATGGAGAGACTTAGGTAGAAGAAAGGGTGGATGAAAAAAGAGAATATTGCAAGCACAACAGAGAGAAAAATTTGTAAAGATATGGAAAGAAATAAAGGTAAATAGTAAAAAATGAGAAAGGAGGAAAGAAAGATGTAGACAGCGAATAAAAAAGAAAAGAAAAGAAAAGAAAAAATAAAGGAAGAAAGAAAAAATAGCGATATGTAAAATAAAACTTCTGACTGTCCTTTATGAAAATTTTTTTAAAATGATGCAGACAATAAAGAAACAAGAAAGAAAGAAAGAAAGAAAAACAGAAAGAAAGGAAGTAAGAGTGATGAAGACATTCAAGAAAAAAGGGGGAATGAAAGAAATAAGAAAGAATATTGCGGACACCACAGAAATAAAGAAAACGTAAAGATGTGGAAAGAAAGAAAGAAGTTAAAGATAGATTGTAGGAAAAGAGAAAGAATGGAAGAAAGATGGAGACAGAAAATAAATAAATGAATAAATAACTAAAGAAAGAAAAAAAGAAAAAAGAAAGAAAAGAAAAAAGAAAAGAAAAAGAAAAGATAGAAGAAAAAAGAACGCAATGAAAAATACTGCTTCAACTTGTCCCTTACGGGAAAAATCTAAAAAAAGATGCATACAGTAAAGACAGAAACAAGAAAGAAGAGAAGGAAGAAAGTAAGAAAGAAAGATGAAAAGATTTAAGAAAAAAGATGAATGATTGGAAAAAAATGAAAAAGAAGGGAAGAAATATGTAGAGAACAATGAAAAAAAAAGAACGAAAGAGAGAGGAAAAGAAAGAAAAGAATGAAGAAAAATAATGCAATGCAAAATGAGACATCTGACTCCTTTACGTGAATAATTTAAGAAATATGCAGACGGTAGAGAAACAAGGAAGAAAGAAAAGAAGGGAAAGAGGAAATAAGAAATTACGAAAGAAGATAACAAAATGAGAGAAAATGTAAGATAAAGTAATGAAGCAAGCATGGAAGGAATGAAGAAAGAAAGGACGAAAGAAGATAAATTAAAGCCATACTAAGTGGAAATGAAAGCAACATAGCAATAAATTAAGAAGAAATGAAAGAAAAAACATAATAAATTAGGAAAGAAAGAAACATATAAGAAATAAACTTGGAAAAGTTGGTAAAAGTAAAAGTGAAAGTGAAAGTAAAAAAAATAATGAAAGAAAGGATTAAAAAAAAAAAAGAAAGAATTATTTAGAGAACAGAAAAGAAAAAAAGACATATTTTTGATCTAAATGTAAAGTGTAAGTTAGTGGATTTAATGACATTTGAAACCAACTTAGTCCATGTCGAAGAAAAGAGTAAAAGATAGACGCAATAGAGGAAAACAATAATTCATAATGAAAACGAGAGAAAGCAAGAAATAATATAAAACGTTGAAGAAGAAAAAACAAGAAAGAAATAATAAATTCTCAAAGAAAGAGGAAAGAAAGAATATCTGATGAAGTGTAGGAAACTGAATAATGGGGAGGAAAGAAATACGTCAACAGAAGGAAAGGAAAAAAGATAAAAAATGAAAAAATGAAAAAAGAAAGAAAAGAAAAAGAAAGCCACAGAGAATGAAAGTAATGTCCATAAGCGAAATAAGGAAAAAAAAAAGAAGAAAAAAGAATAAATATATTGAAAACAAGAGATAAAACACTGACAGAAAATAAGGAAAAAAAAAAAAAAAAAAAAAAAAACTAAGAAAGAAAAAAAAACATTAGGAAAGAAATGAATGAATATTTTAAAGCATTTCACTCCACTGTGCCACTGGTTCGCAGGTTTTCAATGTATGAACGAATGGTAGATTTGTAGATATGTAGGATGGCCATATTTATCACAACGTTTCGGCCGTTGTACGCTCCGGCCTTCTTCAGGTGCTTGGAATGTCGCCTTTATCCACTGTGACATGTGTCCTTAAGGCACAGTGGATAAAGGCGTTGGTTAGATCCAGTGACAGGACCCAAAGTGTTGTGAGTTCAATACCTGGTTAAGGCAGTGGAGAACTTGGAGAGATGAATTAACAAAAGATAACTGACATCCATGAGACATGGCACGTGGAAGTAGAACAGTCTACCCCAGAGAGAGAAATAAAGGGTTCGGTTTGACATTCCAACCACTTGAAGAAGGCCCGGAGCGTACAACGGTCGAAACGGGATAAATATGGCAACAAAGATGTGGACAATAGTCCGAATAATGTAAAAAATATTGCTATCGCCAGTTTGCAATTTGCATACTGGGTCGTTCCCTTTGTGCATTATGTTTTCTTGCACTTGATGTTTAGTCCTTTCTTCTCGCTTTCCTTCAATAAATAGGAATTTTTGTAGGTTTCCTTCTGTCTCTTCTATCAACACTGTGTCATCTACATATGTTGCCCACTAATAATGAAACGTGGCAGGACTTTTCTTAGAATTATCTCACTGTATAAGCTGAATAAATCCGGTGAGAAGACACATCCTTGTCTTACATAGCTTGGGAAGGGTATTCGAATAATCCAGAAATTATACTGGCAGCAAACCGCCTGCATACGGATCGAAAATGAATTCAGTAAATACAGAAACAATTGAAACTTATCGAATAGCAAGTTATAAACAGAAAAATGAAAAATGTTTTTTTTTTTCATATTCATTTCACGTATAGCTTTAATTTCGATCTGTTTCTCCGGACAAATATATATTTTAAATATGTTTCTTCATATATTTTAATTTGCTTTTTTTTCTTTTTTTTTTTTTATAATTTTTCCAGAAATATACGAAGCAAAAGAGAAAAATCCCTACGACTGATGCTATCATGACAATTTTTTTAGACACCCAAATTAAAGGAAAGAAAAGAAAAAAAAGAAAGAAAGAAAAGAAACAAATCGGGATACTTGGAAGGAAATACTTAATTTGAAAAAAATGCAGAGGGAGAGAAAATAAAGAAATCGTGATAATTTGCTTGCGATATATTTGTTTTTTTTCCCCTCTTTTTTATACTTAGCAGACGGTTTCAAATAGACGGCTATTGTTATAAAGTGGTAATTTTATCTTTTAAAGCGTATAGAAATTCAGCCAAGTGTTTGTAAAAAATTTAAAAGGTTGTAAATTAATCTCAAGTGGCTTTCGTATAAATTCTGCTTGAGAACCTGATATTTAAGTGACAGTAGCGAACGTCAGAATAATTTATTTGCCATTAGTAAAAGTCTTTTACATTATTTCTGTGAAAAAGTAAAGTCATTTTATGGAACGAGTGATTTTAATTGAATTTCTCCCTAAATAGTCATGCCTTATGCCAAACATGATTTAATCCAGTAACGAATTGATTGATTCATTTTCTACGACTCATCAACCCTTTGCAGGTTATTTAAAGCCACAAAATATTTTTAGGTCGTTAAACTTTTTGGGAGTAGATAAAATGATTTAGTATTACATGTCTTACTATTTAACATATAGCAGGTGGGGAAGATGAGTATTCATATCTTTCCCAAAAGTGTTTGCGGGTAAGTGAATAAAAAGAAATAAACTGAAATTGAAACTCGGCTCTTCCGACTAACAAATCCGAGCCATTATCAATTACACCACCCGCACATCTAAGCCTACCGCACCTGGTACTTTCATCCAGGTTCTGAGTAGGCTCACCGTTGCTTAACTTCGTAGATCGTAGGGAACCGGTTTCTGAACATGATATGGGATTAGGAGGGATAGCAAAAAGACAAATCTTACAAAGAGCTACAAAGAAAGGAAGTTGTTGAGATATATGATCGCAAAATGTCCTGAAGGGTCGGTAATCCGAAGAAACAGATGAGCAAGTTTTAAAACTTTATTAATAAAGATTTTGGAGATAATAAGGATCTTAGCGACAGAAATCTTACTAATTAACCCATAGCTGGAGCGTGAAACGAAGTGGCGGATTTACACCTTTCCCAAGGGTAATTGGGCATATGAAATTTAACGTGAATCCAAAATGAATTTGGAAAGTCGGCCCCGACAATACATTCCCAAGCTATTTTCCATTACACCTGCCGTGCATCCAAGCTTACAGAACCTGGTATTAGCAAGTTGTCACCCATTTAGGTACTGACCAGTCTCAACCTTGCTTAACTACGGTTACCGTACAAGATACGGTGTTTGAAAGTTCTATTGCCGTAAGCCCCAGTAACGGAAATTTAGAGCAAACTTTTATATCCAACAATGGCTAGAGTATAAGTTTATCTTTTTTTTTCAGAAGATAACGTTAAATTATAGATGTTTGTAAAAATTTCAGTGGCGATCATTCCATAGAATTCCTCGACCTTGTCTGAATACCGCGAGATGGCTTCATTCAATCAGTCTTTTTTCTTGTTTTTGCTATTTGTCTTTTTTATTAGTTATTTATTCATTGATGGGGGCAGCTGTAGGCTGCGTAATGGATATCAGTAGCTAAAGTGAAATCAAAATTCTGTTCGAATTACTCGTTTTAACTTTCCACAGGCTGAATTGCTTCTTTGAGCCTGTTCCTTTGGTCAACATACAACTTAGCCTCGACAGTTTTCTTTTTCATCCCCGTACACAACACAAATGTCTTGGGCAACTTTTGGTAGCTTTGTGGCCTTGATTAAAAGCAAATATGTCGAACTTGCTTATTCTTGTCTACTTGGAGTACCATCTCAAAGAGATGTCTAATCTGAAAGAAAATTTCAATAACGTTAGAAATGAGTTTCATAGGACGACCAAAGTTACTGTAAAGTAAAAGTTGACAAGACAGATTATTATTCGAGATCATTCGAAGAGCATCAGAAAAAAAAATCAAACGGATATATGTAAAAACTTAATAAAAGAGTCGGGAACGCAAAAATATATTCTTTCCAAGATCTCAAGATAAATGTTAAAAAAAAAGCGACTGATTTGTCTTTGGAGGGATTCAATGTGTAGGGAAACAGAAGTCGCGTATCTCCTTTTGGTGGAAGATAATTCTCGTAGTTATATGACGACTGTTTCGTGACGTCTCTCCATACGGGGGTCGATTTTCAGTTCGAGAACAGCTACCAGATGAAGAGGTTGCTTTCTTCTTTGGCCCAGGCTGAGGCTAAATCTGCCTCCCTAGCTTAGAAGCACATGATGCCATTTTTATTTCAGAGATAGATGAATCCGGTCCGTTAAAATATGAAGTCCTAAAAATGGCTTCTCCAAATCTTCAAATTATATTTAAGACCTTTCCTTTTTGTTCCTCATTACACTTTGCTGTTGGATATAAATGACATATTGTCTGATATCTATCTATCTATCTATCTATCTATCTATCTATATCTATCTATCTATCACACACACACACACACACACACACATCATTATTGTTATTATTATATTATAGACATTAATATTGTTACAAACGCACACATATATATATATATATATGTGTGTGTGTGTGTGTGTTTGTGTATGTTTGCATATGTCGTAGTATATAAAAGTCTCTTTGAGAACAAAGTATGTTTGTGATGCTTTTTCTTCTTTCAGCCATCCCATTCCTCCCGTCCAGGAGCTATGGTGTTGTTATATCACGGATATAACAATGCCTATAATGGGAGAAACATAAACGTAAGAATAAATTATTCTTCACTCGCTTTCATTACACTGGCTTAGTTGAATGAATATCTCAATCAGGCATGAAAAAACTGCTTTGTGAATATACTTGATAAATTAAGGTGTCAATGTTTTATGAATCTAGCCTTGGGTCTAAATTTGTCCTTGTCTGAAATAAGAAGGATCATTTTTTCTAGCCAGAGCGTTTGACCCAGGTTGAGGCTAAATCTGCCTCCCCAGCTTACAAGCACATGGTGCCGTTTCCCTTTGGGACATAGATAAATGGACCTTTGGTCTGAGCTGAGGCCAAAGCCGCAGTTCTGAAAATGGATTCCCTAGGTCAGGAATATCTTCAAATTATATGTAAGATCTTTCTTTTTTTGTTCCTCCTTATAATTTCCTTTTGCTGTTGTGATATATAGATCTCCATATGGGATATTGTATATATATATATATATATATATATATATATATATATATATATATATATATATATATGCCATTTCGTCCTGTCCAGGAGTTATATGGTTGTTATATCACAGATATAGCAATGCCCATAATGGGAGAAACGTGAACATGAGAATAAATATTTCTTTCTCTCGCTACAAATGTAAATTCTTCAATGTATATTCATTATACTATTTACATTATTCGGACTATTGTCCTCATCTTTGTTGCCATATTTATCACAACGTTTCGGGCTGTTGTACACGCCCTGACTTTTCAGGAGGTTGGAATGTCGAACTGAACCCTATTTCGCCTGCCGGGGTAGACTGGTCTAGTTCCACGTGACATGGATGTCAGTTATCTCCTGTTAATTCACCTCTCCAAGTTCTCCACTGCTTTAACCAGGTATTGGACTCAAACTGTCACTGTCACTGGATCTAACCAACGCCTTTATCTACTTAAGGACACATGGCATAGTGTATTCATTGTTTCGAATAACTAGATGATTGATAAACTATTACTACATAACGGTGTTTTTCATATATCTATTCAGTACGCTGTGAAATTCCTTGAGCCAAGTGTATCATCGTATTCAACGTAGCCCAGCTGAGTAGAGAATAGTTAGGTATTAAGGCGAATATCATAGTAACAGGTAAGGATAAATAACCCACATACAATAATCTATAACAACTGGACTTTGCAAAATATAACCAAAGAATCTCAATCGGGGGAGCAATATATTTTAATCTTAAGCGTCGAACAGATGAAAGAAAATGTACAACTGACAGAGCTTCGATGGTGCCTTTTTATATTGTTCATGTTTTAACCGGTGCTTCCGTTTTGATGCGGTGATATCCTTTCAGTTGTCCCATTCTTATAATGAGACCTCCTGAACTACTCTTCTTATTTGTATGCGCCGTGTCTCTTCAGGACATGGGCGATCATGGCTCTCCACTTTCCTCTATCCCTTGTAATTCTCAATATGTTTTGTTCTTTTGATATATCTCCCAAATCCTGTTCTGTCATTCACTTGCTTAAACCGGCTAGGTATGTCACGGGTTACTTTCCTTTGTCTCTTTTCCCCTCTATCTGCCCTGTGAGTATCAGATTTTCCAATCTCTCCTTTCTCATCAGGTGTCCCAGAAATTTCAGCTGCCTCCTCCTGATGTGAAGTATTAGCTCCCTCCTTGTTTTCATCCTCTCCAAAACGTCCTTGTTGCTCACATGTTCGTGGCATCCTTAGCATCCTTCTGTAGGAGCATACCTCCATTGCCTCAAGTCTCTTCTTCATCTTTGAGGAGACCATTCAAAATTCAAGGATATCCCGTAGCAGTTCTGTACTTGTTTCTTTGTTACCAACGAAATCCTCCTGTCTAGTACTACTCTGTCTATCTTTTGGAATGCGTCTTTAACCATTCCAATGCGCCTTCGGATCTCACCGGCGCACTTACCATCCTCTGTCAGAACACTTTCCAGATATTTAAATTTCCGCACCCCTTTGATTTTAATGTCCCTGACCTGTAAATCGCATTTCGAGCTCATCTTTTTACTGATGACCATTTATTCTGTCATGTAGTTTATGCTTAGTCCCTTCTTCTTGCTTTCCTTCGTTACCTTCTGTAGGGGTTTTTGTAATTTCCCTTCCCTGTCTGCTATCAGCAATGTGTCATGTTGTTAACATTGTGGTTGCCAATGATGAATCCTGGTAGGATTTCCAGTTCTCTCAGAATTGCCTAGCTGTAGAGTGCGGTGAGATGACGATATTCAGTCACCCCCACCGCCCACGAGGGTGTCATGTGGCACAAGGCCTTTTTAACGTGGGACTCCGGCCAAAAATATGTCCATTGAACCCGTATAAACGGGTTCAGGTAGGAGCTACCTCCCCGAAAGAGACTCCGCCCTTCGGCGTAGCCTCCTTCGGGTTCCTCCCGTCTGTAGGAAGAGAGTACAACCGAACAGTCGCTCAGAAAGTACTGGGTCGACTGACTCAAAAGTGCGGTGAGATGACACATCCTTGCCTTACGCTCCTTTCTATTTTTTTTAGATATGCTGGACTCATTTTCTATCTGTATGTAGTTCATTTGCTGCCAGTATAGGTTCTTGATTATTCTAATACCCTTCCCAAATATCAAAGTTGCTGAGCAGTTCCAACACCCATCTTAACGACAAGCTGGAGCAAAGTACGATAATGCAGACGAAGAAATTATTTTGCTTTTAAATGTCCCATTTTAAACGATTTTACACTTATGATTACGAAAAAGTATTTAATTTTTCTTTCTTTTAGTGAGCATGAATAATAGATTAATTTGTTTATTTACAGTTTATCAACCCTTTGTGGGCTAATTTTTTAAGCGAATTTTCCCAAGGAAGGCATTAAGGTCACTAACGCACAGAGTTACTAGGTGCGAATTCATACACAGATGTCCTCAAGGACCCATGGCACAGTGGATAAAGTCGTTAGTTAGATCCAGTGACAAGACCCAAAGAGTTCAATACCTGGTCAAGGCAGAGGGAAATTAACAGGAGATTGATAACTGACATCCATTAAACATGGCAAGGAGAACTAGAACAGTCTACCCCAGCGAGCGAAATAAAATGTTCAGTTCGACATTCCAACCTCCTGAAGAAGTCCGGAGTGTACAACGACCGAAACGTTGTAATAAATATGGCGACAAAGATGAGGACAATAGTCCGAATAATGTAAATAATGTACATAATACCTCATCTCAGAAATATAGACAGATACATATTTGTGATTGCAAAATTTCTTTGCGAGTGAATTTTTCAATAACAGTTTTCTGACAACAATGTTTTTTTTTCCAGATTCAGCTACCACTATTTAACCCATAGCTGTGGGCGGCACGTAACGGACTGGATTGGGATTCGAACTCAGCTAGGCTCATTCCGAGCGCTAAGGTCAAGAAGCTCCGGTGGAAAATATCTTAGAAAGTAAAAAAAAAAAAAAAAAAAAAAAAAAAAAGAATAAAAGAAAATCATATTCCGCCATCTTTCCATTTTTGTCGCCATTGTTTTCAATTATCTCGAATTGCATGTGAAGTAATTTTGCGAGGAAATGAGATATGTTTTACGATCCTGGACATAACGTAAATTTAGTGCAGAGGAATCGATTTCAATGCATTTTCGTCTTCATAAATTTCTTTTTATTTCAATCAGAACCGCATTATTTCAGTTAGAATTATGATCAAACAAGTTAAAATACTAACGTATTGAGTGTTTTTTTTTTTTTATAAAATACCCCCTGTAATCTTCATATAATCTTTTATTTAAATTTCTAGGGGTTTTACTGATGAATTTCATGGGCATATTTTACCATCTATTTTTTAATATTCATGCTGAGGTTTAAGGTTGTTATTAATTTGTTGTGTGAATTAAATCATTTATTGTTTACGAAGGAGTTGTATTAAGATAATGTTATATTAAGATTGGGTAAATTATGTTCAGTTATAGCGATAAAATGAAAAAGCGATCGAAAATAGAATTGGATAGTTCCTATTTCAACATGTTAAACTATCGGATGTTAAAATAAAAATACAATAAAATGTTGAGCGTCTCTATATCTTTAAGGTTTCGATATAAACTGTAAACGACGTCTGTTGTATTCCTACTCAAAATTCCCACTATTTTATATATAGGAAGTTTTCCACCAATTAAATCGATGTCTATTCATATTCTACTATCTATCTATCTATCTATCTATCTATCTATCTATCTATCTATCTATCTATCTGTGGATTTGGCCAACCTTAGATTAAGTTCAGTGTATAATCGACTCTCCCGTCGAATTCGCCGTATGAGGGTCAAGTAGATCAGTTCCTAGAAACCGACAGCCCGACACCAGCACATGAGATTTGATTATAGTTGAAGGTTCGTGCAAGACCATCTACACTTTTTTTTAAGGGTCAACACAGAGACTGGTGCACTAAGGCCACATGTCTTCCAGGTTTTGAATTCAGAGATGTCCTTCTCCTAGACCAGTTGCCATCCAAGGCAATAGAACTCAGTCTGTCCTGCTATTTTTACCCATAGCTGAGGGAGAAGAAGAGGATTCACACCTTTCCCAACGGTATTAGCACGTAAGTGAATGTAATGGACTCGACTGGAATTCGAACTCTCCGATTCCTCATTATATATATATATATATATATATATATATATATATTTCCGAACGTATATATATATATATATATATATATATATATATATATATATATATATATATATCTACTGAACTTATGAGGAGGCACGGTGGAGTAATGGATAGTTCAATGTATATATATATATATATATAGATAGATAGATAACTAGACTCGTTTCGAAAAACCCTCGAATTTTTGATTTGCTAATCAAATCAATCTCGAGGGAAAAAAAGGTTTTAAAAAATGAAAGAGCTACAAACATGAACTTCTGCCGACAAAAAAATCGCACAGATGCAGGTTTGAAGCCCAAAGAAAAAACCCCGATACGAATAAACAACTAACTAAGAAAAGAGCTCAATACAACCGTAGAGCAGATCTAGATAACCTAGTGAGCCAGACAAACCTATCCAGGTTTCACCTAAACGGATCGTCAGGGAAAAGGCAGGATGTGTGTTTGTGCAACGAATGCACGGCCGCAATTTTCGATGGATTTGAACCAAAATTTACATGCACATGCTCCAGTTAGCGGGAAGGCCAAGACCGACTTTGCATTCCCAACTCCCCATCGATAGTGGAAATAATCGATTTTTCATGCTTCTACGGCATTTTCATGTAGTTTGCGACCATTTTCTACTGGCCAGCGTGAGAGTTTATAGCTGGCTGCCACAGGTTGGCAGGAAGATTCTATTGGCCAGCGTGAGAGCCAACAGCTGACTGACACGAATGTTAACTAGCATGCAAAAAAAAAAAAAAACGATAGCTGCATTCGTCACAAGTGGGAAAAATTTAAATCTGCATGGCACTTTAATCCAATTGGCTCATTCGTTTACTTAAACTCAACGTTGATTCTGATTCCGCAGAACTGGGTTGGGTGTGAAAAAGTATTTGTTGTTAACATTCTTTTTTCATTCGGTTTTTCCAGTTAAGAGTCCTTTTTTAAAGCTGATCGTTTTGTGTTTATTTTGTTTAGTTCTTTTTTCGTAACAGATTTAATGTTTGGTATATATATGCGTGTGTGTGTGTGTGTGTATAGTTTTTACTGTAAACGTTATATTTAAGAATACATTTTTTCCTAAAGATGATATTACGAACTATCGTCTTAGAGATCGGTTGTTTATTAAATAATATTTGTTCGGAAAACGTGTACTCGTTAAATATAATATTAGTCTTAATAAATAATAACTTAATAACAAGTATAATCCCTACATTAATAAAAAAAATTATGTCAAATGAAAAAAAATTAATTTATCCCATATTAATTATATATATAAATGTCTGTGTGTGAGAGAGAATTTTTGTCTCTCTATCCATCTCTCTCTCTCTCTCTCTCGCTCTCTCGCTCTCTCTCACACTCTGTGTACATCTTTATATCAGAAAAATACATTTTATAGGTGTTACAACAGAGCTATTCTGAGTTTACCAATTTTTGGATGGAGGTGTACAAATAGGCACTGTGGTCAGAAGTAATCATTTTTCAAATATATTTTTCATATTATGATAAGCACGCATATAGAAAAAAATCCCTTAAATTTTATAAAGAAAGTAAGAGATTCCCTAAGCCATATAGCCTCATTGTAAATTGATCCCACAACAGAAGCCAAAACAATTATATATAGACGAAGTGATTTCATAGAAATAAAATAAAATTAAACGCTTAATCTGAAAACAACATAGTTAAAAAAAAAAAGAGAGAAATATATTTGAGTGAATAGCTGTAGTTTGCGTCTGTGGTTGGAAGAAAGAAAGAGAATGTGCCACGTAGTTTGGTTGAAATTTAGAAGTCAGTTCGTTCGGGGAAAGAAAGCTGTCTTCTCACTATTGTTTCTTGTAGTTGAGGAGAAAAAGAAAGAGAAAAAGTGTTGGTGAGTTTTTATTTTATTCTGCTTATTACCACGCTTATTAGCGTGCGTCAAGAGAAGTCTCCTGACAGGTAAAATGCAGTAATCCCACAAGATCTATGCCAATGCAGCCTTTTTATATATTCCCTCTTGTTTAATGTGGACAATCAGAGCTGATTCGATTTGCCAATAAGGCATCAAAATTCTCCTTCTATCGGAAATGTTTTCCTTGTGCAGCAACGTTTTTTTCTCAAATAATTTAATATTTTTTTCACCTTACGTACATAATCGTTCAGGCTACATCTTCACCAAACGCTAAAAAAAAAATAATAATAATAAAAAAAAAAAGTATACTTCTGCTTCGTAAATTTACCGATTTCTTAATACAGGAATACAGAAATATAACGGTTCAGGTCCGCCTCTAATTACACGAGTTGGACAACAGGATGTCCCTACGATGAGATCGATAAACCAAAGGAAACAGCAGTTGATAGATATCGATTTTTTCAAAACAGAAATACCAAACTGGTTCAACATATCATTATAATGTTTTCATGACCTTTTACTTCGGATTTTGAAAAAAAAGTTGGTTAATTAAATCAGCGCGATTTTTTTTTTCTAAGATCAGGAAAAATTATTTCATTTAAGATTCGCAAAGAAAAACAAGTTTCGTTTTTATAAAAAAAAAAAAAAACTTTAAACTCGAAGGCGATACAAAGTAGGCGAGTGAAAACCGCTGAAAATGAATATATATAAACTTATGTGCCAGAATAAATTAAAATGTCGTTTGATATAGCGTATTTGTAGACAGAATTTGTATCGTGGAAGCTAAGTAAAGTATTAAGAGAGTTAAAAACTTCTTTAGAAATAAAGAAAAAAACTACTAAACTGTTCTATATGGCAATGAATGCTGGACAATCTCCTCCAAGATTAAGAACAGTCTTGAAGCAACAGAAATATTAGTTCTACAGAGGGATGCTGAGGATAACATGGAGCGAACATGTGAGTAACGACGTAGTTTTAGAGAAAATTGAAACAAAAAGGACATATTTAACATCAGGAAGGGACAGTTGAAATGTCTGAGGCACATAATGAAGAAGGACGGTTTGGAAAATTTGATACTCACAGGAAAGATTGAAGGAAAGAGAGACAAAAGAAAACAACGCATAGCATACTTGAGTTTAAGTAAATGAATGGTGAGACTGAGTATAGGAGAAATAACGAAAAGAACAAATTTACTAAGAACTACGAAGAACAGGAAATTGTGGAGAGACATGATCGCTTACGTCACGACGGGAGACGGCAAATAAGGAAGAAGGTATAGAGGTGGAAGCTTGTCATTTGATAGTGATACGATTGAGGAGAGATTATTTACCTTGAATATTATTAAACATCTAACGTGAGTCATAACAATGACATCTGTCGACAAATAGATAACAAGATATTCCGATAGACACGTTCCGTCATCACCGATCGGACATATGTTGACCATGTTCACCATAGTCTATGAATATAGAATACAGCACAGTACGTCATCTGTTCAATGAAACAACGTTAAAGATTAAAACTTACGAACAAAGGTTGGCAGTGAGTATTCGGGAAAAAAAACATGGCGGCCTTTATACAACTGAATATTTTGAGCTTTCTGATTGGTCAACCCTTTTATTGGTGAACTATAAAATGAGTCAGCTCATTTTGGTTGGCTCAGTAGTACACCAAGGTACCCCAAAACTCCAACAACACAATTTTCCGCTATTTTTCCAAACCGTTTAACAGCAAAATTGTCTAATTCTTAGATTAAGTTTGAAACGTTGTATCTTAGAAATTATTAAAGATATCTTACTGGAATTCTCCCGGGTTTTAATAACCCTATTGAACACTACTTTGCACAATAAGAATGTATTTAGCTCTAAGTGGAAATGATGATCCCTCTTTTATCCTCGTTACTGTTCCCTCTTTTTTAAACTTATTCACCGTTCTTTAGATGCTTCTTGAATGGATTTTAAACGTGGAATCTAGAGTGTGAATATTGGTAGCATTACTGAAAGATTGAATGATTATTTCCTCTCACCATTGCTCTGTTGGGAAGACATAGTGGGGCTAACATAAAATGTTTTTAAACTGTTGTCTTTCTAGGTTTTTCAGTGATTCTTTCGACAAATGATGTTAATATGGCTAATCAGTGTGTTTTTTTTTATATGAAACATTTTGTAGGATGAACAATTTTAATGTTACAGTCGGCATATACGAGGGTCGTTCAAAAGTCGTTCTGGAACTCATCCAAAAAGATTTGGGTAAACAATACAGTTTTACACTATATTTCAATATCCCCCCCCCCACTTGACATCAAATGCACTTGGTCCAAGGCTGCTTAATCATTACAATCCAGTCACGGAAAAATGTGGCGTCATGGCCCTCCAAAAAGAGCTTCACAGACCTTCAGCTTCCCAGTTTTCACTATCCAATCTCGATATAGTCCAAAAGCGTCTCCACGTCCTTGTAGGTTAGGAATTGTTTCCTACCCTACAACCTCTTTCCCGCAGACGAAAAGTAGCCAGCTACTCGCTGCTTTAACGCTATTTCCATAGAAAGTGTTCAAACAATATTATGTTCCTTAGTTCTATTAGTTGTTACCTTCAGATTAAAACCCACTACGCTACGCCTTTTCTTCGTCTTCCATTGGTTAGATGTAAATTCTACTCCAACAGCTTCTTTCCACAAATCGCTGCTTTGTGCGACCAACGACCAAGAAGTTCCTTCCCAGATAACTACAATCTTAGCCCGTGCATCTATAGAGTTAACAGTAGATATCTCCATAAACTGAACCTCTTATTATGCAACCATATACCACGAGTGATTGTTGAGCATTGTAAGGGGTGAACATTATGGTAAAATAAAAGATATATACATAGATAGAAAAATGAATATCATGTGAGCAACGATGAAGTCATGGAGAGAATTCAGGCAAGGAGAAGGATCGGGCCTAATACCAGGAAGAGGCAGATGATGTTTCTAGGACATATAATGAGGAAGGAAGGCCTGGAGAATCTGCTTCTTACTGGTCGAATAGAGGGAAAGAGAGACAAGTTAAAGCAGAGCGTAACTTTCCTGACGAGCTTGAGTAGGTGGCTGACAGACGGGGTCATGTGGAGGTGGCAGAGGGAAGGAACTTGTTGAGAGCTGCAAGGGATAGAGGGGGTGAGGAGCCATGATCGCCTACGTCCTGAAAGGAGACGGCACATAAAACAGAAAAAAGGAACAGATAAAGTGATCATAAAGGCAGTTGTCGAGCAGTTGATGTAATTTTACGGGTTGTTATTATTATAATGGACTCGGACGACAATAGCTGATCTACTTTTGAGATTCAGTCCCACACAAATCATGTGTTTTCCAAAATATAAATAAATAACTTCTCCTTTCATAGAGCAGTGATTTGTATTTTATTTTCTGTGTCCCCTTCAGAACGTGAACAGTCATGGCTTTTCACGACTTACTTTGTAAACCGTCGTAAATTTTGTATCTTAGCTATATCTCACAATCCCTTTTTGGTCAATTATTTACACAAGTTAGGTATGTGTTGCCTCTCCCTGTACCTCTTGGCTTCAATATGTCCTGCATGTCAACTTTCCCAAGACATTTTTCTTCATCATGTTCCATATATATTTGAACTGTCCCCTTTCTGATCCTGCTTATACGTGTCATTTTTGCTTCCATTTTACTTAAAACGTCTTCGTTGCAAAGGTGTAAAATCCATTTCTCAGTATCCTTTTGTATAAACACATTTTTGTTACGGGAAGTCTCTTATGTGATCAAATGCTTCAACATTCGCTGCCATATAGGAGGACTGATATTACATAACAGTACTCTTTTCTTTGTTTACAATGGAATTTTCCTGTTTCTTAATACTTTGCTTAGCTTTTAGAAGGCATCTTTTTCTATCTCAATTCGGCTGGTGATTTCGGTATCGCATTTTCTATCCATTGTTAAAAACCCTTCCTAGATATTTAAATTTTTCACTAGATTAATTTTGGTATTAATTTGTAATTCGCATGTGGACTGTTTCTTTTGTTGACAACCGTATATTCTCTTTTCTTACATTTGAGGTTTAGTCCTTTCTTCTAGCTTTCTTTTACCACAACACTATTGTTTCAAGTCTTCCCGTAATCTGTGAGGGAAATGTCCAGAATTTACAGCCATATAAAAGATTAGATCTTACATATCAATTTATAAATTTTATCTTTGTTTCAAACAATATTTTCCTATAGCTTAATACTTTGCTTAGTTTCTGAGAGGCACGAGATTTGATATTACATAGAAGTTCAACCATATTTTCTTGTTTCCTGTTTCTTAGTACTTTGCTTAACTTTTAGAAAGCATCTTTTTCTATTCCAACGCACTTATGGATTTCAGTGTCACATATTCCAAAAACACTTCCTAGGATATAACTCATAAAAGAAGAAAGACGTATTTGTTGGCCGCTCTTATTTTCCTTTTCTTTCTACCCGTCTATATCTCTATCAGTAAATAAGGCACCTTAGAGAAGGAAAAAATCTTCAGCGCCGGAATGAATATACTGGAGGACTGTTCCACGACGAAAGGGAACAACCAGCAATACATAGAGCAACCGACGGGTCTGAAATACTAAAAACCGAAGTAGAAGCTGCACAGGCGAAATGGAACAGAAACAACGAAGCAGGGCCAGACGGAATTGTAACAGAGATGCTGATAGCCTTTGATGATTTTGACATAGACAAGATTACAAAAATAATAAATGAAATCTACAACAGTGGGGATATACCGGACGATCTCAGCAGATCCATTTTCATAGTACGAAACCAAGTGCAAACGAAGTTGAACTGTACTAATGAGCTAAATAGCAAAACTCATCATCCGTATTCTGATGAATAAAGCATGCAGCAGAATCAGACCAGAGATAGGACAAGAACAGTGCGGGTTCGTTAAAGACACCGGAACAAGCAACGCAATGTCTATTCCCACAATATTATCAGAAAGAGCAATACAAATGCAGAAGGACGTGTACCTATGTTTCATAGACTACCGTTACATAGTCTATGAAACATAGGTACACGGTAGAGTAATGGATAGCGGCTTGGATTAAGGAATCGGAGAGCCGAGTTCGAATTCCACTCGAATCCAATAACATTCACTTACGTGCTAATACCCTTGGGAAAGGTGTGAATCCTCTTCTTCTACCTCCAGCTATGGGTAAATAGCAGGACAGACTGGGTTCTATAGCAATTGGCAACTGGTCTAGGAGAAGGAAAACTCTGAATTCAAAACCTGCGGAGGGTCGTTTGTGCACCAGGTCTCTGTATTCGGCCCTTCAAAAAGTGTGGATGGTCCTGCACAAAACCTTCACCACTAAAATCAAAATCTCATGTACTATACATGCGGGTTGGGGATTCCAAATTCCCATGAAACTACAATATTGGAGCCGGCTCAACCCACCTCGGGTGAATGCCGTTACAGGTACAGGTAGGGGGGAGGTACAACGGTGTTCGACAAAAGATCTGTTGGAACTGCTCAGCAACCTTGATATATTAGAATAAACAAGCACGTAATAATGCATACGATAGAGAATGAGTTCAGCAAATATACAAAAAATAGGGGTGTAAGGCAAGGATGTGTCTTCTCACCGGACCTATTCAACCTATACAGCCAGGCAATTCTGAGAGAACTGGAAATCCTACCAGGATTCATCATTGGTGGCCATAATATTAACAACATAAAATACATATTTGAAAAAGTGCTGATAGCAGACACGGAAAGGAAATTACAAAACCTGTTGAAGAAAATAGAGAAGGAGATCAAGAAGAAAGGACTAAGCATAAGCTTCAAGAAGGCAGAATTGCAATTTCTGATCTTGACATATGCAGTAAGATTGACTGTTTTGTGAGACAAGGGTAAAGCTTTTAAATCGTTTACTCCCCAGGTCAGAGATTAAACTTTCTGAAGAATTCGTCATCCAAAATAAGGCTTACTGAATATCTTCAGCTAGACTAGAGTAAATCTTTTAAATGGTTTACACCTCAGGTCAGAGATTAAAGAAGTCGGCATATAAAGGAAGGCTTACAGATTATCTTTAGCTAGACTAGGGTAAATCTTTAAAATGGTTTATTTAGTCAAGGGATTAAAACTTTCTGAAGTTGTCATTTAAAGGAAGACATACTGATTATCTTCAGCTCGACAAAGGTAAATCTTTTAAGGTTTTTCTCCTCTGGCCAGAGATTAAAACTTTCTGAAGAAGTTGGCTTATAAAGAAAGTCTTACTGGATATCTTTAGCTAGACCAAGGCAAATCTTTTAAATGGTTTGCTCAACAGGCAAGAGATTAAAATATTGTAACGGAGTCGACATTTAAAGGCACAGTTACTGTATATATTTAGCTAGACTAGGAAAAGTCTTTTAAATGCTTTACTCATCAGGCAAGAAATTAAAACCGTTTTCTTTCTCCTGGTTATATATATATATATATATATATATATATATATATATATATATATATATTATTATTGTAACTTCACTGAAGATATATAAATGGAATTATTGATATCATTCTCATGAAAAGTCCTCTTTGATAATCAAATATCGATTAGGTATAATATTTTTTCGGAGCCAGTTCTCTCGTTCCTGGTTTCGTAATTGACTACAAGATAACTGTTTTCGCATTCACGAATAAAAAAAACGAAGTTTGCAATCGGCATGTGTCTTATCTTATAGACTTGAAAATGCGAAACAGTTGTTTGTTATGAAGGATTCTTTTATCTATAATCAGCAATAAAACCCCAACAGTCGGTTAACAAACGGAAACCGAGAGAACATTTTTGAAAACAGTCGCCTAAATGCGAGCGTTTGCAATCGATAAAAAGGGGATAAAAGTGTGAGAGGAGGTGGTAAGTATATAGGGTAGTTGTGTTTGAAAACACCGTTCGAAAGGGAAGAGATTTTTCGAGACAGACGTAATTAGAAAGAAAACAAGGGAGATAAGTGGTTATGGAAAAACAAGGCATTTTTTTTCTCTCTCCATCATAACATTTTCTTTTTTTTTAGTATTTCTTCCTTCTGTTGTCTTGTCTTTTTAATAATGGATCGTTTTATAGCGTTTGTGTTTTATGGCATTTATCTTTTGTTGTTGTCTTGTTGCTCCTTTTCTTTTCTTTTTTTTTTTAGATAGGCGTTATTTTTTATGTTCCATGCCGTCATATCTCCTTCATTTCTTTTTCTATTATTTGTGAGTTGTTTTCCTATCTTGTGATCTTTCTTTCATTCTTTTTTATTTTAGACTATTGTTCTTTTTGTATTTTTATCTCTTTCAGTTGTCTTTCTTTCTTTCTTTTCATTATATACATTTTCTTTTTTCTTCTTCTTTTTCTTCCTTTCTATTTTACATTTGATCATATTCTTGCTCATTCACTCATTTATTCATTTTTACATTCCTTCATTTCTTTCATTTTTTCTTTCATATACTTCTGCTTTCTTTCGTTGTTATAGTTTTTTATTCGATTTTCTTTCTTTCTTTCTTTTTATCATATTCTTGTTTTTTTCTTACTTTCTTTACTTTGATCATATTCTCCCTACTTTCCTTTAAACATATTCTCATTCTTTTTTCTGTCTTCTTTCTTTCTTTCTTTCTTTCTTTTGATCATATTGTCGTTCTTTTTCTTTCAATCAAATTCTCGATTTTTTTCCTTCCTTTTGTACATTTGATCATATTCCCATTTTTATTTTCTTTCTATCTTTTCTTTGATCATATTCTCGTTCTTTCTTTCTTTCCTTTGATCATATTCTCATTGTTTGTTTGTTTCTTATATTTATCATATTTCCGTTCTTACTTTTCTTTCTTTCTTACATTTGATCATATTCTCGTTCTTTCTTTCCTTTGATCATGTTCTCATTCTTTGTTTCTTTCTTTCTTCACATTTGATCATATTCCCGTTCTTTCTTTCTTTCTTTCTTTCTTTCTTTCTTTCTTTCTTTCTCACATTTGATTATATTCTCGTACTTTCTTTCCTTTGATCATATTCTCATTCTTTGTTACTTTCTTTCTTACATTTGATCATATTCCCGTTCTTTCTTTCTTTCTTTCTTTCTTTCTTTCTTTCTTTCTTTCTTTCTTATGATATTCTCATTCTATCTTTCTTACACTTGATCATATTTTTGGTTCTTTACTTTCTTTTCTTTCTTTCTTATAGTCTTTTCATAACTTTCTATTCCATTTACCTATTTTTTGTTTTGTTTCCTTTCACTTGATCTTTACATTAATTGCTCCATCTCTCTTTCATCTTTTTTTTTTGCTACCTTTCATTCTTTTTTTCTTTCATTCGGAAAGAGAACAGCCTCGTTTTTATAGTTTATTTTGTTTTACTTTCTATGTTTATCTTGGTTGCCCCGTGTTTCTTTCACCTTTGTATTTGCTACATTTCTTTGAAAAATTTTCTGTTTCTTATATTTCGATATATATGTTTTCTACTTCCCCTCTCATGGCATTCAACTTTCTCACACTCTCAAACTACTCTCACAAACATTCTATACATTTTCTTCCTCTTTTTTTTTTTTACCTCTCACTGCTTCGTTCTTCACCTCTTCCTTCTAATTCTTTTTAATTTCTCACTGTTCTTTTGTCTCTCTTCATTTTTCACACTCTCACGATTCCGTCTCTTTCTCCTCTTCTCATTCTCACTCTACCATTCCACTAATATTACTCGCGTCTCTTTCTCTCTCTCTCTCTCTCTCTCTCTCTTGTCTTTCTTTTTCTAAATACCAAATCTCTGTGAAATGATTGTCCGTTCGCACCTGAAATTAAGCACAAAGAATTTGAGAAACAGAAAACAGACCAAATGGATGCCGGACAAATAACCAGTAAAGCCAAGTCGATAATTAGGGTCAACGGATGAATAGCAAGAAAAGTGCTCGACCCGAAGCGATGCAATCGCTCAAACTACAAAGGACCTGTCTTCTATTAAGAAACGCTTTGATAATTAGTGGAGAGAAGTGTGTACAAAATCAATAAGTGTCTTTCTAAAGACACACAATGCCAATCCCTCACACCAGGAAAAAATTAAAAAAAAAAGAAAGAGAAAAAAAAAACACAAAAATTAAAGTTCACGTCGACACACCGCAATATTTTGAAAATCAAAAGATATTTACCATCAGACAGATGATAATTATTTTCCGTAAATTTCTTCATATCAGAATTTACATAATACAAGACTCAAGAGCAAAACAAAACGGTTACTGTTAAAATGTTAATGTTGAATAAGATGTGTAAAAGAGAAGTATCCCATTGATACAGCGTCATATGTTGCTCGTACTAGTGTTTGACGAACTACGGCCATTGTTCCGTAGAGGGTCACATTCGCTGTCTTCAGGTCAATATCCAAAATCGGACTGTTTCGATTTTTCCCACTGAATTTTAAAGTCGTCTTTTCACTAGTTATTATTTATTATTTCACGAACAATAAATGACAGAACGGGAATGGGATCTGTAATGGCTACGTTTATTTTAAAGAAATGCTGCCGACTAGTTGTCAGTGACGGAGAGGGTACTGTGAGTGAAACAATTCCCCTATTCCAGTCTTTCTCCCTACCAGAGCCAAAAACTTCATTGAAGAATTTTGGTGGAGACAAAACAATTTTAATAGGAATTCTCGTCTTCTCTCTAGTTCTTTCAATTGACTCGTCAATTCAATTCACGGTGTAATGAAAAGTCATTTAGTTTTTTTTCCCCTTTTATTATGAGACTTGCGAAAGTTAACTAACTCGATGAAACGTAGTGTATTTCAGAAATTGAATCTAATAATACATCCATTCACCGTAATGATACGTCTCATTGTTGAGAAGGCGAGTTAAGTTTGAGAAACTTACAGAAATAAAATTGCGTTTTTCATTGAAGAGATGATATTTTTTTTATTCCAAAAAAGTTGTGGATATGTCCGATAAGTAAATTTATAGATTATTTTAATAGAATTTTGTACATAGTTATCCGTACGGGCGTTCGCTATTTTTGGATACTTCATGTTATTTCGTTATTTAAAAGACAAAAAAAACCCCCAAAAAACTATCTATCTATTTATCTATCTATCTTAATCTCTTTATATCATATTGTTATGGGACCTTACGCATAATAACATAATGAACTATTCCATACGTAATAAATACTGCGCCTCAAGAGGAAGCAGGGAGTTCAGTTCGAAGTCGGACGACCGGCTGACCGGCTGACCGGCTGATCGGTTGAATTCTCTGCCTTCGGGCGGGGAGGAACCCGAACGAGGCGACGCCAAAGGACGCAGTCTCTTTCGGGGAGGTAAACCGACCCTGAACCCGTTTATACGGCTTCAATGGGCATATTTTTGGCCGAGCCCACGGGCTTGGAGATCCCACGTTAAACCGGCCTTGTGCCATATGATGCCCTCGTGGGGGTGTGTGTGACTAAATACTGTTCCGTCTGAAGTCTGAAGTTCAGCCTGAAGTCTGGAGTGAGGTCCGTCAGGAGTCTGTCAGTCAGTCGAGTCAGAGGCAGTCCGAAACAGAGTCGTTTTCAGACAATTACTACTAAACCTGATTGTTCGTACGAACACTTTTCTACCTCTCTGTATATATTCCTGTTTGTAATATATCTGTGTTATTCCATATCCGTGTTTCTTCTTTATTGGTTCTACCTTTGACTATCACCGTGGTACAAGGAACCGGACCATAACACATATAAACTGCGACAGATAGATAAATAGATATACAGATATGAACAGACTATGATAGATAGATAGATAGATAGATAGATAGATAGATAGATAGATAGATAGGAATAGTTTGAAACAGATTAATAAATAGAAAGAAAGACAGATATGGATAAACTAGGAACGATATATATATATATATATATATATATATATATATATATATATATATATATATATATAAGTAAACAGAAAGAGAAAGAGATAATGCATAAACTGAGATAGATAAATTGACACAGTCCACATTCACATTCTTTCCCTCATTGAAAATCTAGAGAAAAAAAGAAGACTGCTGAAGTGTCTGATGTCTGTAAACATCAGCCCATATGCCAGTCTATGTGGATCTCGTTAGTAGGTCTGGCGTGGAAATAAATGCAATATGAGGGCCATTAATATGGAAAAACAGAGGAGAAAGACTTCAACTGTCCAGTTTACACAATCCAAGTCGTAATACAGTACTGGCAAAATGTATGCGTCTTAGCTTCGATATTAACGGGATTACGAGAGGAAGGATTTCTTCTTTTCAAACGTTTCCAAGGCAAGATATATTTTTTGTTGAACTCTCATTAGAAAATGAAAATTTGTAGCCAAGGTTGACAGATTTATTGACTGGTTGAATTGGTTTACTATAGACTGTTATGAGGGACATACCAGACGTTTTGAGACTTTTCCAGGAGAGAGATTTCTTCATTTCAAAGAAGTACAAAACTCTAATCGCCTTCAAAGTAGGACCTTGTGACTTTAATGCTCTTAGTATAGAGCTCCAGCCATCATAAAAGTATAAAATAAGAAAAAAATGAAACAATAAAGAACAAATAAAATCTATCTATCTATCTATCTATCTATCTATGTTTGTTCAGATCTATCAATCTCAGTATGTTCATATTTCTTTCCCTCTCTCTCTATTTACCGCAGTATGTTCATATCTCTCTATCCCTCCCTCCCTATCTATCTATCTATCTATCTATCTATCTATCTATCTGTTTATTCATATCGATCTCTCTATCCTTCTCAGGTTATCCGTATCTCACTCTCTATCTATCTTTCTCTGTCTCTGTTTATTCATATACATCTCTCTCTCTCTCTTTAGCCAAGATCGACAGAGTTATTTATTGGTTGAACTGGTTTAACATAGACCGTTATGAGGGACATTCTAGACGTTTTGAGATTTTTTCAGGAAAGACATTTATTAATTTCTAAGAAGTACAAAACTCTAATCGCTTTCAAAGTATAATCCCTGACTTTAATCCTCTTGTTATAACACTCGAGCCAATTCATTAAGGCCCCATGGAAGTCATACCTATATAAAGGGACCATGACCCCTGTCATTATCTCCTCCTTCTTATCAATATCATGAAAATGATCTCTTCCAGGTTGGTAATCGATTTGTGATTCTGGAAGAAATATATATATATAGTTATATAACCATGGATGTATTAAAAGTAGAAATAACGAAGGTATATTACACGAAATAATAATACAAGATGTGGAAGGTGTTAGTATGACTGTCAGTCTGGTTTGGAGTGAACTACTATCGGCTCGACTCGATTTGATATTTACTCCCCCCCCGACGAGGGAAAGATGTGGCATAAGGCCGAGTTTTACGTGGGTTTTCCAAGCCCGTAGGCTCGGCCAAAAAATGCCCGTAGAAACGGTAAAAACAGAATCGGGTTGGTCAACTTCCCCGAACGAGGCTCTGCCCTTCGGCGGAGCCATGTCCGGGTTCCTCTCTGTTCAGAAGCAGAGAGTTCGACCGTCAAGCCGAGAAGTTCGGCTCGATTCGGTATCTAACCCCCCCCCCATGGGTTGCATGTGGCAGAAGGCCGAGTTTAATGTGGCTTTCCAGAGCCAGTAGGCTCGGCCAAAAAATGTCCGTAGAACCCATATAAACGGGATCGGGTTGGTCAACCTCCCCGAACGAGACTCTGCCCTTCGGCGGAGCCTCGTCCGGGTTCCTCTCTGCGCAGAGGCAGAGAGTTCGACCGTCAAGCCGAGCTTCTCGGCTTGATTCAACCCTCTCTCTTTAGAGGCGTAGTATACATAGTGTTAGGAAGAGTTCATTCTGTAGTTATAGCTAAGGACACATGACAATAGCAATTGCCTAAGATAAGTTATATACAGCAGCGATATCATTATAAAAGCTTAGGTTC